GTCTCCCCGAAGCGTTTTGCAGCAAACGTTCCCTGAAAAAGATCACGTGAGCGAGCCTAGGCTGTAGGGCAGCCTAGGGGAGGAAGAAGGGAGAAAGCGAGGGGGTTGGAGAACTCAGGGAAGGGAGGGTGGGGGTGAGGTGGAATGAGGAAAAGAAAGTGCCACATTCGCTGTGTTCCTACTACGTGCCAGGCACCGGGCTCACTCTGTCTGATATCTACTGAGATTCTTGCTGTAAATCTGAGAGAACAGCTGTTACCACTCCCACATTCCAAGGGGAGAAATAACAAAAATAATTAATATTGCTAATGTTTACATAACACTGGCATATCCTACATATCCGGCAGTGAGGTAAGCACACATTTGATTCTCAAGACAGCCCATGACACGGGTATTCTCTGACCGCCAGAGGAGGAAACTGAGACTCAGAAATATACAGTAACTTCTCCAAGGGCACCAGCAAGACATTAGTATTCGAAGACAAGCAGGTTCCCAAAGTCCTTAGCCCTCTATGAGGGCATTTCCCAAGGGATTTATGGTGCTGGATCTGGAAAATGACCCTGGCCAGAGTTGTCCTTATACGCCCACAGCGGGAGCCCAGCATGGGAATGACGTGAATGACGTAAATGACCAAGTGACCAGAGGCACTGCCCTCCTCTGCACTCAGAGGACAGTTTGTCCCAGCGTATGGTTGTTTGTCATTCTGTCTCCTACCTAAAGTTTAAAATTTCATTCATAAGTTTGGGAACTACAAACTTGGCAGCGTGGGAAAGGTCCTTGGAGATCAGTTATTCTAGTCCAATCCCCACATATTACAAACGGGAGGGAGAAAAACAAAAAACAAAAAACCCTGAGGTCCAAAGAGAGCCATGTGATATGGCAAGGTCACAGAGCAATTTTCTGTTAGGAGTTGGTTTGAAGTCAATTACAGATCATCTTGTTCTGTAATTACCCAATGTGGGTGTATGTACCTCTGAATCACTCAAGAGCTCTTGAAATTTACACATCTCTGCACTCTGCTTCTGAGGATTCAGACTTCAGTTTGCAGCAAGTCTTGGGAATATGTACACGTTCCTCAAGTGATTCAGATGCATTTGGAAGTTGGAGTCCAATACCCGTCTTTCGTTTTATAGTTTGGGATCCTAAGACCCAGCATGGGACTTGCCCAAGGTCACATGGCACGTCACTGGGTTCCTAGCACAGGCTTTGTGGTCTGAGCTCAAAGCTCATTCTTCTTCTCCAGGCTGCCTGTTGTCAAATTCTCAAAATGGGCCAAGAAGGCTGGGCAAGGAAGATTCTGTGGTTTTCCCCAGCTCTTAGTTTACTTCTTGTTCCCAAATTAAGATACAGGGTGGTGTCCATTTCTGGGGTTTGGAAAGGTAGGAATTCAAGAGCTGAAACTCTACAGGGAAAAGGAAACTGCAATAAGCTGTCCCGCAGGTCTGTGGGGGTTTCCCAAAGGCGAGCTCCAGGATCCAAGGATGACTCAGATGCTAGCTATCCTCTAGGCCCCAATGCCTCAGGCAATACCTGCGTTTTCCATTTTAGGAGAAAGGGGAGGGAACACTTCCCTCTGTGGGAGGAGATGGGGTGGAGAAGGCCCAGCTGTGACTTGAGGGGGTCTGACTCAGGAAAAGCCACACATCCCAGCACCTGGAAGGAAGAGGAAGCTGTCTGCCAAAACTAAATTGAACCTCTCAAGCACTTTTCCTGAGCCTCTCCTCCAGCCACTCCTTCATCCTCCAGCCCAGAACTACTCGAGCCTACGGATTCACTGCTCCTTTTTTACTTCCCACTATCCCACCATTTATTTCACTATCTCCTTCCTTCCTTTTTTTTTTTAAATTCTGGAATTGTATCTTGGTGTTTGGAGTCAGACATCCTGGGTTTGAATCCCAGCTCAGCTTCCTATGAGATCTCTGAACTAAGTAGAATCACATCCCCTCTCTGAGCCTCAGTTTCCTCACCTTTAAGGAGTGTGTGGCAGTGGGTATAGTTCAGCAGTAGAGTGCATGTTTAGCATGCATGAAGTCCTGGGTTCAATCCCCAGTACCTCCGTTTAAAAATAAATAAATAAATACAAAATAAATAAAAGGAGGGATGATATCTACCTTCTCAGATTGTGAGGATGAAACAAGATCACGTAGATACTTAATAAACAGATGTTTTCTCAGAAACATTAGATCGTGTGAGTCATCAATGGACCAGAGAGATTTGCTGAGCTGAACTGAGGGGCCTAAAAGAACAGGTGAACCGGAAATCACCTCAGAAATTTTGAAGGCCTTGATGACTTCCAAACTGGAGAACAAGTGAGTTGTATACAATATTTCCCAATGATAAGGGAAATCACATACTTACTCTTGATAGAGTCTCAAGTTTCTTTACTTTTGTCTGGAACTGTATCAACTCAAGGTGATAACATGGTTATCACATACTGTTTAGAAGTTTTGATTGACAAGTTACATGGATCTTTGATAGGTTTTTTTTAATGGGAAGATAATTAGTGGAGGCCAAACTGAATGATGGAAAATGTTAATCTTGTCTAACTCCTCATTTTATAAATAGGGAAGCTGAGGTTTAAAGAAGGAAGTGTCTTGCTTGTCACACAACTGGAAGAGCAGGCTCTAAAACCTAGATTCTTTTACTGGAATTAGTTACTTCCCTTCCTTCCATTCCAGAGAAGGGGAACCTAGAATCAATGAAGTTGAGGAGTCTTGGTCGGCTGAGGCAGGAATGAAGTGACGCATCAATTTGCTGTTGCCCTTTCTCTATTCTTGACTCATTCAGCAAATATTTACTGACTGTCCACACTATTTCAACTCAGAAGAGAAGGCAGAGAGAAAACAGTTATGGCAGCAGGCAGAGTCAGGATCCGCTTCTAGGTAAGACTTCCAAATTATGGATATATAAATAAAAATGGACACACACATTACAAAACACCCACTTAGTCAGCCTTCTAATAAAGTTAGGTTGTGTCTGAGAGCAGGGACTGCCTCATTCGCACATGTCCAGATCTGCCCGTCACTCAGCAGCCTCGAAATCAAGGCTGTGGTGTTGGAAACACCTGAATTCTAATTCTGACTGCCACCGACTCTATGTCTTTGAGACAGTATGTTGCTTTCCTTCTCTAGTCCTTAGCTTTATCATCTGTAAACCGGAAACTGACGGAAAATCATGTGTGGGATTGCTCACCGGTTCATTTCAAGTTATCCCAGACTAGGAAAAAGAAAACGCTGGGAATCTAGGCTGAAAACAGAGTCAACGTTATTACCTCGTTAACTCCCAAACATCCTTCCTGCACTTTCGGCCACCTCTCTATCTTGTGCCCTAGCCACTCTCCTTTTCTTCAAGATTCCCCTCTAGAGGGCACGCAAGCTCTAGCTCTCTCATGCCTCACTTCCGTTCGCCTTCATTCTTCATTGTGCGCATGTGCACACTTCGCTTCCGGGCTGCCCTACCCAGGTTTAAGTGGCTCCGCCGACGATTGCACCCACTACGCCTGCGCACTCTCAGCCCCGCCCTTCCACCTCTGTCCCCGGAATCATTTCTTCCTACGCAGGCGCTACAGCCGCTGCAGCCGCTGGAGCTTTGCCTCTCTAGGCCGGTAGAGCCTCTCCTCCATGGTCCTGCCTGTCACCGTTTCGGGGGCCAGCGGGTGAGGCTGGGCCGCGCTCGGACGCTTCGATCCTCGAGTCCGTCACCGGTGAGTGAACCCCAAAGGAGCTCGAGTACGAGCGGGACCCGCGCAGCCCGAATGGGCATGATTTCCCCTCACCCCGGGAATGGGTCTGTCCTCCCCCCACCCCCAACTCCCGGAATGGGCTCGCCCCATCCGTCCCAGTCCCTCCTCCCGGGCGGGGCGACGTTGTCATAGTGACGGCCTGCTGGCTGAGGCCCGGCATGTGTCCTCGCAGGTGTCGGTGTGGCCCGGGGCCCATGGCGCGGCCGCGGCGCTGACCCAGGC